CGAATGACGTTATGGTAATGTTTGTGATTCATTATTTGTCTTTCACTCTGGAGTTGTTTCGATAGAAACAGGGCATTTTCGTTAGCTCTTTCAGGGCCATTCGAAAGTTATCAGCCCACTTGATACGCTCTTTCGATTGTCATACACATTTTGGAGTTATGTCGAGCAATCGAAGACGGTAGAAACATCGTTTTTTAGGTATAACGATATACATATTATTATATTCTCGAATAAACAACTTTGATGTTGTTGTAAATGTTATATAAACAGAAACGAGTTAGAAGTTGTAAAATTTTAAAAGAAATGACATATATATCGTTATGTACCAAATAGTGAAATAACGTAACGTCATCCATCTCGTCTCATTACAAAACTAAGTTCGAAATCATTTCAGCTGTAATAATAACTACAATGACATCGGTATCGTTTCTTCACACTTAAAATGACATTAGTATCGTTATGCTTAAAAATGACGTTTCAGCCTTCCCGGCCACCGGCATACGCCCCACCGAACGTATGACGATAAAAATAGGTAATCCAGCCAGTTCAATCTCACTCGAACGACGCTATTGTAACATTTGTGATTCCATAGTTATCTTTTACACTCGGGTTGTTTTTATAGAAACAGGGCATCTCCGTTGGCTCTTTCAGGGTCATTTGAGAGTTACCAGCCCATTTAATACGCTCTTTCAATCTTTATACACATTTCGGAGGTATGTCAAGTGGCCATGGATGGTCGAAACGTTGTTTTTAGATATAACGATATGAATGTCGTTTAACTTGTGAAGAAACGATACCGAAGTCATTGTAGTTATTATTCCAGCTAAAACGATTTAGAACTCGTCAAGTTTGTAATGAAACGAGATGGATGACGTTATGTTATTTCACTATTCGGTACATAACGATATATATGTCGTTTCTTTTAAAATTTTACGACTTCTGACTCGTTTCAGTTTATATAACATCTACAATGACCTCAAAGTCGTTTCTTCGAGAACATAAGGATATGTATATCGTTATACCTAAAAATGACGTTTCGACCGTCCTTGATCGCTCGACATACCTCCGAAATTGAAACCAATTTTTTCCTTAGGAATCTGTTTTAAGTTTGTTGGAATATAGTGGTGTTAATAAAATCGAATTATTACATACCGTATATGTAGTTTAGATACCGGTTTTGAGCATACCGTATATGCAATATACTGTATATGCAGCTTATCATATTTACAGGTAGCTTACCGTATATGCAGTTTATCGTATTTGTAGATTATCATATTTGCAGCTCACTGTATTTACTGCCTACCGTATATGCTCCCTACAGTATATGCAACTTACTGTATTTGTAGGTAGCTTACTGTATATGCAGCTTACCATATTTGCAGCTTACTGTATATGCTCCCTACCGTGTATGCTTTTAACCATATTTGCACATATTTTCTATACCCTTTTCATATATACTATTTTCACATACCGTATTTTCACATACCGATTTTGCTCTTACACATACCAAAATAATAGAAATTTTTTCAGATTTTTACTTTTAACATATATAGAAATTATCGCAGATTAATTTTAATAAACATAAATAGATCGATAACATATCTCAGTTCTATGTCGTTATGCAAATCAGAGAAGCAGTGTCTATTTAATATTGAAACGATATGCATGTCGTTTTGTGTCTCAGGAACGAGTTCTAATTCGTTTTAGTATCAATTTTAACTGAAACGACTTCGAAGTCGTTATGTGTGGTCATAACGAATTCTAAGTCATTAGCAAATTAGAGAAGCAGTGTGTATTTAACATGAAACGATATGCATGTCGTTTTATGTCTCCGGAACGAGTTCTAAATCGTTTTAGTGTCAATTTTAATTGAAATGACTTCGAAGTCGTTATGTGTGGTCATAACAAGTTATAAGTCATTATGCAAACCAGGGAAGCAGTGTGTATTTAACATTGAAATGATATGCATATCGTTTTGTGTCTCAGGAACGAGTTCTAAATCGTTTTGGTATCGATTTTAACTGAAACGACTTCGAAATCTTTATGTATGGTCATAACAATTTCTAAGTCGTTATGCAAATCAGAGAAGCAGTGTGTATTTAACATTGAAACGATATGCATGTCTTTTGTATCTCAGGAACGAGTTTTAAATCGTTTTAGCGTCAATTTTAACTTAAACAACTTCGAAGTCATTATGTGTGGTCATAATGAGTTCTAAGTCGTTACGCAAATCGGAGAAGCAGTGTGTATTTAACATTGAAATGATATGCATGTCGTTTTGTATCGCAGGAATGAGTTCTAGATAGCTTTAGTGTCAAATTTAACTGAAATGACTTCAAAGTCGTTATGTGTGGTCATAACGAGTTCTAAGTCGTTATGCAAATCAGAGAAGCAAAGTATTTAACATTGAAATGATATGCATGTCGTTTTGTATCTCAGGAACAAGTTCTAAATCGTTTTAGTGTCAATTTTAATTGAAACAACTTCGAAGTCGTTAGTGTGGTCATAACAAGTTCTAAGTCGTTACGTAAATTGGAGAAGTAGGGTGTATTTAACATTGAAACGATATCCATGTTGTTTTGTGTCTCAGGAACGAGTTCTAAATCACTTTAGAGTCAATTTTAACTGAAACGACTTCGAAATCGTTATGTGTGGTCATAATGAGTTCCAAGTCGTTATGCAAATCAGAGAAGTAGTGTGTATCTAACATTGAAATGATATGCATGTCGTTTTGTGTCTCAGGAACGAGTTCTAAATCGTTTTAGTGTCAATTTTAACTAAAACGACTTAGAAATCGTTATGTATTATCATAACGAGTTCTAAGTCGTTACGCAAATCAGAGAAGCAGTATGTATTTGACATTGAAATGATATGGATGTCGTTTTATACCTCAAGAATGAGTTCTAAAGCGTTTTAGTGTCAATTTTAACTGAAACAACTTCGACGTCGTTATGTGTGGTCATAACGAATTCTAAGTCGTTACGTAAATCAGAGAAGCAGTGTGTATTTAATATTGAAACGATATGCATGTTGTATTGTATCTCAGGAACGAGTTCTAAATTGTTTTAGTATCAATTTTAACTAAAACGACTTCGAAGTCATTCTAAGTGGTTACGCAGAAAGCAGAGAAGCAGTGTATTTTACATTGAAACGATATGCATGTCGTTTTGTGTCTTAGGAACGAGTTCTAAATCGTTTTAGTGTCAATTTGAATTGAAACGACTTTGAAGTCGTTATGTGTGGTCATAATATATTCTAAGTCGTTATGCAAATCAGAGAAGCAGTGTGTATTTAACATTGAAACGATATGCATGTCGTTTTCTGTCTGAGAAACGAGTTTTAAATCGTTTTAGTATCAATTTTAACTGAAACGACTTTGAAGTCGTTGTGTGTGGTCATAACCAATTTTACGTTGTTACATAAATCAGAGAAGCAGTGTATATTTAATATTGAAATGATATGCATATAGTTTTGTGTTTCGGGAACTAGTTTTAAATCATTTTGGTATCAATTTTAATTAAAATGACTTCGAAATCGTTATGTATGGTCATAACGAGTTCGAAGTCGTTACGCAAATCAGAGAAGCAGTGTGTATTTAACATTGAAACGATATGCATATCGTTTTGTGTCTTAGGAACGAGTTCTAAATTGTTTTAGTGTCAATCTTAACTAAGACAACTTCGAAATCGTTATGTGTGGTCATAATATGTTCTAAGTCGATACACAAATCAAAGAAGCAGTGTGTATTTAACATTGAAACCATATGCATGTCGTTTTGTGTCTGAGGAACGAGTTCTAAATCATTTTAGTATCAATTTTAACTGAAACGACTTCGAAGTCGTTGTGTGTAGTCATAACCAGTTTTACGTCGTTGTGCAAATTAGAGAAGCAGTGTGTATTTAACATTGAAATGATATGCATGTCGTTTTGTGTTTCAGGAACGAGTTCTAAATCATTTTGGAATCAATTTTAACTGGAACGATTTTGAAGTCGTTATTTGTGATCATAACGTTATGGAAATAAGGACAATAGTGTGCATCTTACGTTGCAACGATATACTTGACATGGACAATATCTAAATTTTATAGTTACCGAAGATAATGGAAAATATGTACATCGAAATTTGTATTCAAACTCTAAAATAGCTGCTACTCCAAAACCAAATTAACCAAGTCACTACATAATGTTATAAAAATATAAAAAATACGAACAAAGCATAATCTACGGCTCGAAATCCCAAGCCAACAACTCTGCAGCCAGTTTCTTTCTCCATACTGGTACGTAATCCGGTCGAAATGTATTTACGTCCATATTCGCTTGAAGAATTCTATGTATTTGATAGCGAATATTTCATAATCGGATCTACAAAAAAGTTGTAAAATTTTTTTATTAATTTTAAACGCTCAAGATAATATGGTACTACTAACTATGAAATTAGTCATTCTTACCCGTTCACTTGTTGGGGAACATCTTTCACGTTTACAAATTTGAAGTTCTCCGTATTATATTTGCTTTCACTGGTAACATCAGATTTTATTATCAATGGAATAATCACCTGTAGAGGCAAAAAGTAAACTTCCAACGTTGCTCGGCGAATGTGACCCTTCAAACTATCAAACATAAAAATGGCACGTTTCTCCATGTCGACTTGAACTGCAAATCAATGGTCGTAGGTCCAACAAGGAAGATACAAATATCTATAGTCCTTCCAAGGTTTACCGGGCTCCGAAGTAGCCCATTTCACATAATTAATTAGACTCTTACTACATTTGAGCTTTTTAGTGGACTGTAACTGGTCATATGCATTGATAACAAATTGATGGAAATAAGTGCCCAATATGCAATAGTCTTGCCGGAATAAATTGGAAAATTTGGAAGCACTTTCTCGTATCTGATATAGGGCCTCGTTCATAATCTGTAAAAATAAACTAATCAATTCAAACTGAATTCTTTTGTAACATTATCGTAAAATCATTAAAGTTGGATTACTTACACTGTCATTAATCCAACCATCCTCATTCAAAAGATCCATCAAACTTTTTGCTTGAATATCATAAAAGCGCAAAGGTATAATTTGGCCGTGCATACAACAAAATCAACACGAAGTTATATTTAGGTAATACTGTCATTACTTTTACATATACTTGCAACTATATGTAATAATTTACCACGAAGATGTAATTTCCATCCATTTACAAAAAGCATCAACCTTGACGGGATCTACTTCTCCATAAGGATTGTATACATTGATGTCTGACAACTTTCTCCTCTTCGTCGAGTCCATGTACGGAGAACATAATAAGCGGGCTTTTCTCTTCCGATGATACCCTCGTCCTTTCGATGGATCATATCCCGCCTCATCAATTTCTGCAATGTCGCCTATATGTTGCAAATAATAACAATTAGAAGTGAAAAATTTGTTTCATTTGGATATAAAAATGTAAAACGGAACTTTGAATTCATTTTTACATACATTGCGTGGATTCATTTGTAGCCAAATCATGCTTTTCAGGCGTCACAAAATCATCGATCTCTTTCTCCACATCGAGATGTTTTTCTTCTAATATTATTTCTTTTCCAACACTCTCCTTGACCATTTTTTCATTTTCTTGCTCATCTATATCATTTCCAGATCCAGCTTCATTTTCCAAGTCCTTCCCTCCTACATTTTTGCCTCTACCTTTCTCCTTTAACTTTGGGTCCTCCTCACGCGTTTCTACATTTGTTGCAGCAGTAGGCACATCTCTCATATAATCAAATCCAAGCTTAGTTTCCAACTCATTCGCTCCTATATTTTTTCCTCTAACATCCTCCTCTAACTTTAGATCCTCTTCAGGCAGATCTACCTTTCTTTCAGCAGCAGACATATCTGTCACATCATCAAACATAGCCTCTATTTCCAACCCATCATTCGATTTATTTTCTGGTACATATGCTATGCTACTAGTGGTACCATCAAATGCACTAGTTGCTGGATGGAACCGACCCGCCACAGCCAATTCAACTAACCTATCAACCTTTTTCTCCACTCGATCAAGTTGAGTCGATATGATTACTTGTAGCCTTCCCTCAAGTTTTTCAATTTTCGTTCTCAATAAATCCACTATGCTCATCTCAAAACCAGGCTGGGGTGGTTGAGCTGCTCTAGGAGACTCTTCGTGGTATGCATGATGTGGCTCGACATCATGCTTAGCCTCGTCTCTTTCGGAATGGTGTGAAGCACTTTCATCTTCTTCCACAATCGGTGTTAACTCTTTCCAATAAGCCTCTTCCAATTCAGTTTCATTAGGAATCAATGTGGAATTAACCTCCAGTCTGCAAATGTTAAATTTGCAAATCATTAGTCATCAACTAATCTAATTCCATAATTTGTCCCCATTAAACTTTAAAAAACATAAATTTACCTCTTTCGATTTCAACACAATATCAATGGCGACAGGCGCTAACCTCTCCAGCATTTCCCAAGCAACCATTCTTAGAATTACATCTGGATATTTTGTAGCAAACTTCATTCCCAAAGTTGGAATTGCTTCAAATGCCAAAATCTATTATAAAACATACATTACTATCTCATGACACAAATATATATATCTACACAAGTCAAGTATATTGTTTGTTCATACCACTGTAGCAAGAGGAAAGTCGTGCAAATAATATCAACAACGTGACTCTCTTCCGACATCGAAAAACTTCATATCTCACGTCTGAATACATTCATTGTGTATTCAAATGAAATCTTTCCCCTCAAATACTTCTGAACCTGTCCAAATCATCTAACAAGTCCAGCCACCATAAATTGATATAGGTATTTTCCTCTGTGGCCCACAGGACATACGTCAATATTAAGATCAATCCCGGCTCATATTTTGTCGCTCTTTTTCTTCTTACAACATGCAAATGCATTGTAGGCATCTCCCTATGTTATTTTCCCCCCACTATTTTTAAAATATTCTTTCACAATCGGATACTCCGCCCCCAAAGTCTTATCTACATCATTCTCATCACACACATTTAACCCAGTGACTAAAAGAAATTCTTTCAATTCAAACCTTGCTCGTTTATCTCCTATCTTGAACCACACTTCTCCATTTTTGTTGATCTTCATTTTCCTCATTAACAACTGATGGATGACCTTTGAAGCCAACCTTATATCCCTAAGTCTAAGCAGAGATCCAAAGCAACTCTCCCAAAGCTTGCTTTTGTGATTTGTATCCAGTTGTTCATAGACATCCTATACTATTTGGAGTTTACATCTTATTGTAATCGTAGCGTCAATCTGAATATTCTCCATAGCACTGTAAATTATAAAATATGTACATATATCAGAACAACTGATGACAATAAGATGTACATATGTATGCACATCAAATGCTGAATGTCACCAAGAAATGCTATGATTTTATTTCACTAAAATCAGAGATTTTGTTAGGGAATAAATAATAATAAATATCACACAACCTATTTCTTACTCCAACGTGGAGAAAAAAGTTTCACTGTAGATCTACAAATATGATACAATTCAAAAATAAAATGGAGAAATTCCATATAAAAAGTATAAATCTTATTGGGGTTTACATCACCTTCCAAATAAATTTAACAGATTTACATTGCAGCAGAATAAAAATGTCAGCCAACTTCCCTGTGTTCAATTTGGAAGGCAAAGAATTTATTTAGGTGACCACAAGGTGGATATTTTAGGCATAGAAGTGGCAGCCTCAAACTGAGATCAAATAATGTAATTATGAGCAATCATTTCATTATTGCATTAGCCAACACCCCCTATACATTATAAGAAGCTTATAAATCTTGTAATAATGTTTGTAAATCTTAAGCTTGATCAACTATAAGAAGCTCGTAAACATTAGTCAAACATATATAAAGAATATAACACTTTTATAAAAAGAGCATTTGCAATGACAGAAGATTAATCAAATACAAAAAAATGAATAAGGTATCCAGTAATCAAACAAAACATCATTTATTCTACTAAACCCAATTTATCCACTACTCAAGAGCTCAAATTTCCACAAAATAACTTTACAATCAATCAAAAAAAATTATACTATCTACTTACGGTTCCCATGAAATAGCCTTCCATTTTTGACAACTGGCATTCTTTATGAGAAATCCAAAATAATAATACAATCAAGAGCACAAATTTTCACAAAATAACTTTAACAAGCAGTAAGTGCAACTGACATTCCATTTTTT